GCACTGCTTTTGCGAAATTTATATGCTTTTTTTACACACAACTTTTCACGCCAACCAAAAAGGGATAAGTTGGGCTATGTTTGAGGTTATGTGAAAGGGCGATGCAATTAGCCGCGAAAACCCCAACGCCTCCTCAAATACTATATATATATATATTTTTTTTTTTTTTTTGATGAATACGTTTGAATTGTCTGAGCTTATCGTGGTCCCAGCAAGCCATACAGAAAATCGTATCTGATTTATGGCAGCGATTTCTGTTTTGTTTACTGCATACTTTGGGGCGTATTCTCAGCACGCGTGGGTTCAAGGTTCAAGCACAGATGAGAGCTGAGAGACGAGAGCTGTGAGTACAACATAAACATGATGCAAACATCTTTGTCGACCTCAATAGCAGTTTCTGTTTTTCATTTTGCTGATGTTCTAATTATTTTTGCAGCTTTTTTAACTTTTACAGATTGAGCCATGGCTCACAACGATAAGCCGCGTCCAAGTGAAGATTTTTGAGAGCAGCGCTGCAGAGTGCATCAAATGGGTGCATAGAGTGAGGGCATCGAGTGTTCAAAGCGGACGAGAGAAATTAGACGCCGGCAAGAGTAGATTGAGTGTGGACTAACCACACTCAGCAAAAATAATAATTCAAACATATTTTTCACAAAATATATTTCTAAAATTCTGTGTTTTTCTTTTTCTAAGCATTTGTATTTTAAGATTTCACATGTACAAACAATTTAGATAGTTTCTCAAAAAAAACATATCTTAGGAATTATTGATTTAGGGTAAGCCTTTCTAAAATTATAAAATTTTTTTGTATTTGGACATAATTTCTGAAAACAAGAAAAGCTTTCTACTTTTTTGCTGAGTGTAGAGACTTTAAGTAGACAAACAGTCAGTCGGCTCTCCACTCGCTCCTTGACTGACATTTTACAAATATCTGGCTTTTATTTGCATCAGCAAACGATTTTCCACGCTGCATTTATTGCACTTATTGTTGACGCTGCTGCCTTTGGGCATTTTCAATGTTCCTTACGAACTTGCCACCATTTGTCAGTCTGTCTGGCCAACCAACCCGTTCCTGCTAGTCTAGCTTTTGCCGACGTTGCCCAAAATTTCGCCGGCGCCGACGCCATTTTTATTATTTTCTACTTTTGTTTCTGTTGTTGTCGCAATTTCCATTGCTGTTTCCTGCTGACTCTTCCCCACTGGCGAAATTGCAATTGCAATTTAATTAAGCTGCTCGACCGAACCCAACAAGCCCCGCCTCCTCATCCTCGCCCCCTTCGACGTGTGACAAGCGACAAGCGATTTTAAACTGTTTAGGGCTCAATTTCATTTAATTTCACCTATCGAGTTTCCATTTCAGTTGTGTTTTTTTCAACAGCCTTCGTAGTGCATAATTAAAATTTGGCCTTAGGACATTTAAAGGGCTTATAGACTTACGGACAAAATTACAGAGAGGGAGATAGACAGAGAGCGAGGAAGAGAGAGAGAGAGAGAGAGAGAGAGAGACAGCAAGCTAAAGAATGTTTTTGGTGACCTTCAATGGAGGGAAGCACTAAATTATTTAGTGTGTGTGTGTAGAATATTAACTTTATCTTTAAAAATAAATAAATAAAACATATATAAGTATACAAATAGAGCTGCTGATATATATATAAATATATAGTTATGGTGAAGATATTATTATTGCGATGTGGGGATAAATGCTAGGCCAAAACATCGCAAGATTATTTCTAATGAGGGTTATGCTACCAACCGAGTAATATAATAATAATATATTCAAATATCATATTTTTGAAATAATATTTTGCATCAGGGAAAGCTTAACTAGTTTATTATTATTATTTGTGCTCAATTTTGTGTTGTTTACTCATCTTTAGTATTATTTGCTAATTTAAGTATTTTTTTTGTTAACATTTTCCATTATTATAACATATTACTATTATTAATATTAAATATTTAGAGCTATACTTCTGTAACTTCAGCAGATTTCTATGCGTTGTTTATATTTAATTCAGCATCAAGAAAAAGCAAAAGCAAAAGGAGACCTTCGCCATTCGGCGGGGCATTCTTGTTGGTGTCTACAAACAGCCGGCATAAACACAGAATCCATTTGTTAACCAACTGTTTGTTTACGCTGTCTGCGTTTTATTTTTGGCACGCTTCGATTTGTGGCGTGGCAGACGGGGCAAATCATCAGCGAATCTGGATGTTTCAGAATTCTTTGAGTTTTTCTTCATTTTTCTTCTTATATTTTCTTTTTTTTTTGTATATCAGAACGAATTGCTGGCATTTTGAGCATATGTTCGCTGCTGCTGCTGCTCCAATTGATTGGCATGCCACATGAATTCCAGCAAGCACAAGCATCTGTTGCCCACAAGTGTAATACACTGCAACTCCAATTTAAAAAGGGGTTTACAGCTAACTCTAACCCTTTTTGCTTGGAATTGTGTAAAAAGTTTGCAACTGGCATTATCCTAATCGGGAATAACGAGACCCTCGCAATTTGGGGCTGTGTCAATCGCCACTTAAACAACTTAAAAACTTTAAATTGTCTTATCGAAACGATGGCAGCCGGAACAACAACAACGACCATGATGATGAAAACTATCCAAAATTTCAAAAGAGAGAAAAACCGCAAAAAACTGATGGGAAATTCCCGCTTTACGAGCATGCAACAAACACACAATGTTGAGGCGACAACTTGCCCCACTGTAGTTAGTTTTCCTTTGTACAAGTCTAGTATGTGTGTGTGTTGTGTGTGTGTCTGTGTGTGTGTGTAATGTGCATAGTTTGTAAACAATGGGGAAATTAGTGCAACTGGCGCAAAAATGAAAACTCCAACCACATACACAAAAATCCAACGACGCACAAAGAATTTCTCGTTTGGCCAGCGGAAAACAACGCAAAAATGTCATTTAAAAGTGACAAAAACCAAATAAAACAAAGAGCGGCGAAAACTACCCAACTGATGACAAAACTAGTGAGTTGAGATAGAGAGAGAGAGACAGAGAGAGAGAAAAGGCTAGCGAGCATAGCACACACCCAATTATCTACATGAATGAATATCAGCTAAATTTTGTTGACTTTGATAGTTTAATGGTTGGTTATTAGTCCAGAGAGAGAAAGAGAGAGAGAGAGAGAGAGAGAGCAAAAGAGAGAGAGAGCAAAAGAGAGCAAAAGAGAGAAAAAGGAGAAGAGCAGATAATAAAGCTAACCATATCAGTCGCTAAGAATATCAGACACCCACTCGTCTTATCTTATACGGTTCCATATAAAGAAAGTTCTTTTAACTTTCGGGTTCAACTAAATAATAAATAGTCCAGAAAAAACAGAGAGGCTAGAAGAGAAAGAGGGGTAGAGAGAGATAGATAGAACCCCAAACAAGTATATCAGACACCCACCTATCTCGATCTATGTAAGGAAAATGCTTTTGAAAGTTCTGCTTTCCTTACTGGCTGCTCATTAGTCCCATTTACCTATTTTGGGCCGATTAAGTTGGGAAGAACACAAAACTTTAAATGGGGCACAGCTACTCCCAGTTGCCACAACTGTGCTGTGCTGCAAACATATTTTGCCATTGTTAGTGGCACATTTATTGTTGGGCGGCAACTTGCGTGTAAAATTACTTTCCTGACCAACCATCGAACCGTTTCCTGTGCCATTTTCTTGTCTTAGGAACGGTTCGCTTTATTAATTTTGTTCCGGTGGCTTACACGGGTCGAAGCAGGCCAGGCAGGCCCATGTTTGGCCAGGCCAACAAGGCCGCTGCTAAACGGCATCCAAAGCGACCACAACAGTTTCAGCTTTATTGATTTTAGATTTGCCATCACCCCATTTTCTGCACTCGCAAAAAATCGCTCTGAAAACTTAATAGTTTTTCTTGTTTTCGAATTTTTCTATTATTATGATGTGCATTTCTACAAAATATAATTGCTTAATCAAATTTTTAGAAAATATCTTTTCTGATTTTCTGATAAAAGTATTGAAATTTAAAATAATTAATATAAAATAATATCTTAGAAAGATACTCTCTGAATAATAAGATGAGTTACACTTGTCGAATATGCAAAATTCAGGTTAATCATTTCTCTGAGTGTAGGCATACAGTTGCCGCTTTCTGTCTCTCTCCTATTATTGCTCGGCTCACATGTGTGTGGGTGCATTCACCTTTGCTGACCCGTTCGTCCGTCTGTCTGTCCTCCTTCTTCTTTTCCTTCTCCTGCACCTCTCACGTCTCTTAGCCATAAATTATGCACTGGCATGATAAGGCGCCACAAATCTGCTTATGCTGTTTATTTTGTCGGCCATCTCGCTGTGTCTCTTCGGCTCTCTGTCTGATTTACGACGCCTTCGACTTGCAGCCTTGGGTTACTGGACATAAGGCAACTCCTCCGCCTTCCCCCTTCCGGCTGATGCCAATTTAAATATACATATATATGTATATATATATATATATATAAACCCCTTGGCAAGCATTGTGCGCCACCAACCAAATTTTCCAGCCGGATAAAGTTTCAGTCCGATTTGGCTGATTTGCAATTAAGGTCGATGCCACAGCTGCCCCCTCCACACTTAGTCGATTAGACGGCACAAATTAAAAGGTGGCCAGCCAAAAGCCAAATTTAATTAAACTTCATTTAAAATTCATCGAAAACTCAACCGACTTCTGCGCTATGGACAAACTTTTCAGGAGGCGCGCAAAAAACTTGTTCATCAAATTTGGAAATGCGCTTTAATATATGCTACAGTTTCCAACAACACTTCACATAATTAGTCTGCATTAAATATGAGAGGCATTTTGCAACTGGGATACAAGCAATTTAGCTAGCAAAATTCTGTGTTGATTTTCAACCTGAAACTAGCAATTCAACTTGAGCGAAAAACAAGTCAAAAGAAATTGATAAAGTTATATGAAAATTCTACAAGTGTACACTCTGAAAATTGTAGAAACTAGGCTTTTTCTGTCTTTACTGTGCACAAAAGCAGCTCTAACGTTAGCTTTTTCGTTGCTTTTATTAGTAAAAAACATTAGCCTTTTAATATATCACATACAAGACAGACACCTAATCTAATGGGAGCAAAACTCGAGTGCAATTTGTCAACAATGCTCGCAATGGTGGCATTTGCTTGCTGCCAATTTACTTCAGGCATGTGTCATATATGGAATATGTTTGTGCTCGAAATAAGGTTCGAGTCGGAGAGGATTTGGTGAGAAATTGGGAATTGGCCCATTGGGGCATAAACATTTCGATCACGGTGAGCCTTTTAAACTAATTGAATTCATGTTTTATTAATTACAGCTCAAAGAAAAGCCCCAACCGACAACTGACACAAACTTCCGGTGGGTTACACACACACACATATATACATACACACATGCGCACCTCGTAAATAAGCGATTATGTGAAAAGACCCGAAACGATTTCAGGCTGCGGCTGCTGTTTGTCCAGATTCATGCAAAATGTAAGAGGCCAATATGCAAACAGCCAACTATAACTCCAACTACCAACTACCAACAACAAGTCAGCAACAAGGCTAATATGGTCCTAGGTGCCTTAAGCCATGTCTCTAATCCTGACGTATGCTGTCCTTTAACTAACTACTTTCCCGAGAGGCAAACAACTAAATGCACCTGGCTCAGTTACTCAGTCACTATCCTTACACTCAGAAAAATAAATCGAATAGAATTTTAGAAATTTTCTTATTATTCAGAAACTATATTTTGGACAAGACTTTCTAATTTTCGTATATGTACAAGTTAATTCTATAAACAAGAAAAACTTTCTAGTTTTCAGGGCGATTTTCTCGACTAATTTAATTAGCAAAAAGTAATCGCATTGTATGCCCTGCTTGTTCTGCTTCACATTCTCGACCGGAAGCGGTACACGAGCTAAAAACTATAAACTTGTCCGCACACACTTAACTAAATTGCACTCATTGGCAGTGGATTGCGGATGGGGATTTGGAGCAGGAGCAGCAGAATTTCGAGAGTTGTGCGAAGTTGCCTCTTGGCAATGGAGCCATCAGCCTAACTTCATTGCTCTTATGCAGAGAGTGTGTTCTTGGGTATAAACGACTCAAACCACAAATATCAGCTGCGTCCTTGGAGTGACAGCCCCATGGTTCTGATGTGACAGACATGCAAATACCTTAATTACTTACAGTCCACCCACCTAAGTCGAGGCCCCCGTTGAGTTTTTAGGAGCTTTGCGCCCCGCAGTTCAATTGAAAAATCCAAAAGAAAGTATAAAAGTTCAGACGTTGAAAAGGAAGCCACCCATTGAGACGAATATGAGACGAAAAACACGCGAATTTATTTTATATTTTATATATGAAATTTATGTTTTATATTATTTATGTAGATAATAATTGGCAAACTTGCTTATGCTCCCAGCACAGTTAGATAAAAGAAAACAAAGAATGCTACAGTCGAGTATACATACATATATATATAATAGACACTGATATATACATATATGAACCCTGAAATCAGCTGTTGAATATAGAAGAAAAGTTTTGTACATTCAAATGTCAGCATATATCGATTTCCTTGTTGATCCTGATCAAGAATATATATGCCTTATGGAGTCCGAAATGCTTCCTTCCGCCCGTTCAAAACATTTGCACAACATTCTCTTTACATCAACTTTCAAAAAATTGTTTTAACACAGAGACAGAATGAGAAAGAGAGATAGAGAGAGCAAATAAAGCAGCACAAAACCTGACAAAAGGAAAGCGCGAAGAAGGACAACAAAGAATGACAAAAAAGAGCAAAAAGCAAGTAAAACGACTCGAGACAAAGTCAAATAATAAATAAAAGTCGACAGATTCACTTTGGCTGCTTTTCTCTTCTCTCTCCCTCCCCCCAACCTATGTTAACAAATATTTACATGTATACAAACACGAGCACACACATACAAACATATGTATATACACACACACACACACGTATGTCTGTGCATATATGTGCATAGAACTAGCAGCAGAAGAAAATATGGCGACCAACTTCAATGTTTGTTGGGAAATGTGCTTCATTAGTGTTGGTAAGCAGAATAAGATGGAATGGAATGGTGGCAAAGAATGGTGGAAGAAGGCAAATGGCAAGGAACAGTTCAACTTTACTGCTTCAATTGCGTCTATTGTTTTTGTCAGCTGCTGCTGATGATGATTATGGTGGTGATGATGTCGAGAATTTGCACTGCTCCCCTTTTTCTTCTTATTTTTTTTTTGCAAGTCAAAGGACTGTCGGGCTGATCTGACCTTGAAGCCAAGACAAATGTGTGATAAGTAAAAAAAATACCACATACAAAATGACTGATGAGGAAAGAACAAGAACAAGCAAAAGTTGCTGCCGGTGCTGCGCTGCTTCTGCTCTGCTGTTAATGTTGACGGTGCTGCTCTGCTGCTGTTCTGCTGCTTCCCTCTAGCTGCAGCTGCTCTGCCGCTGTTATGTTTCTGCGCCTACTGCTTCTGTTATTGCTGCTGCTGTTCTGCTGTTCTCTGCTGCTGCTGTTCTTCTGTTGCTCTGCTGCAGCTTCTGCTAATGATGATAAAGTCAAACGGCGCTGAAAGTTGTTCACGTAATTTACTTCATTGCCCACTAACAGCAGCTGGCTTCTCGACTGACTTCGCTGCTGCTTCTGGCTCTGATTTATGTTGGGAAAGGCCAAAAAAAAGTTCATCAAGTTTTGCCACAGGCAAAAAAGTTGCGTTCTGTGGGGGGAGAGGAAAGAGTCGAAGAGTTTTTCTAGGCAGAATTACTTACATAAATTGGTTAGCACCGGCTACACTGCAACTGTGTCAATATTTCACATGCAGCGCCAACCACCACCAACAATGTGCAACAATGGGGCAAGCACAGTTGCCGCCAGCCCTGCTGCCCCATTGCCAACTCCTGCTGCTTTTGCTGCTGCCCAAACCGCTGACCAATATTTCACAAGCAATGCCAAAAGGCGGAAATGCAGTAAACAACCCCAACAACCAACAGCCACCAGCCCTACACTCAGCGAAAAAATCGTCATGAAATTTTAAAAAGAGCTGAATTTCAAAATAATTTCCTCATCATTCTAAAAATATGGTCTTTTCTTCTTTTTTAAATATTTTCTCTTAAGAAATTCGTTTTTTTAAAGTTGAAATGCAAACCCTAATGATATTCTTTCAATTATTTTCTAAGTGTAACAGCGGTGAATTTTCATAAAAGTGCTGCTGCCGGCAGTGGCTGTGGCAGCAACGAACGCAATGCAGGCCTCAGCCCCCCTGCACCCCTTACATGCTGGATCATAGGAGAGGCAATTTTTCCCCAAGCACAGATCCTTCAATTATGCAATTTTCTATTTTTGAACAAAATTGAAACTGAAGTTGCGCCAGCCAAGTAAGGATTGGGTTGATTGTGTCTGTCTACCTGGCGCCACACAACTTGCAGACTGTCTATCTGCCTGCCTATCTGCATGCCAAAGCCCAACTATCTATCTCTTTTCACATTTTTTGATTAGGTTTTTTGTTATCAGACGCAGACAGTTGGCTCTATTCTGGCTACGTTCTTTTTGATTCTAACTGTGACTACACTTGGAAAAAAATCGACATGAAAACAAGAAAGTTGGCACATATCTTTAAAATTTTAGATAAAAACGCAGGTTTTTAGAAATATACTTTCTTATATATAATAATGTGCGTTTGACGAAATTCTAAAAAACATACACTATATTTTATCTCTGCTTGTAGTTGCATAATTTGAGATACTCAACTCGCGAATGACTTGAGAAACAAGATGTATCTGGCAAATGAGTTGCTCTTATCACTTGAAATCATCTGGAATTGAGGCGCTCCTCAGAATGAGGCAGTTGCCAATTGGCAGCTAAACACACAAAATACAAAACAAGATAAAAACCAAAATGAAATAATTGCCGTTATTTCAAGTGTTTCTCTGCCTGTTGCTGCTGCGAAGAAGAAAATAAATTTGAACAGAAATTCGAAGTGGATCGATATATGCAAATTTATATATAGAATAGAGAGTGGAGAAAAGTTAATAGAGAATAGAGAATTGAGAGAGCATCTATTGGCAGCGAATTTTGAAGCTGTTGTCGCCGCACTTTTGATTTGCAGGGGGTGGAGGCATGTTGTTGTTGAAATAATGGGCGCCTGGGCGCCCAATTGATGGCTGGTTATGAGTTTTTTGCCATGTTATTAACTTCAAGTGCCACAAAATGAAACAGTAAATTTGCTGCTGTGTTTGTTGTTTTTTTTTCGAATGAAAAATGGGCAAAGTGCTTTTAAAGGCTAAGCAAATTGCGATAAGTATTTGGCATTCTTATGTATGTGTGTAGATTTTGCAGATACATATATATATATTTTTTATGAGTGTGTGTATAAGCATATTTTGTTTTTTGCATTTCTGTGCTTAATTTGCCAAGCTGTTATCGATCTGTCTGTAATGCTTAATGCTCTTCTTCACAAATTGAAATAAGTTTTCATTGCATGTTCTCATGTAAAGCTTATGTTAGTTACAGCTGTTATCGATCTTTCTGAAGCGCAATATGCAACCGTGCATGTTAATGTTAGATTGCATTGTGTCATTTTCTTAATGTTATGCATAGTTTGTCTACCTACTACAATATGTATTTAAATATACGGATATACTTGTATGTGAAGTTTTATGGTCTGTCTATCTTTGTGGGGAAGCGAGTTTGCTGTTAATTTTAACTGTCTTTGCTGGCACGTTGTCGAAATGGTCACGTATCAATTTCGATATTCGCTGACTTTGGCCTTTGTCTTTGATTCCAGGCAGGAAAGAGCGAGTGAGACGGAGATAGAGAGAATGCAACGAATTGCAAAGAGTACATTATATAAAGTTAGCTCGACGAGCAGATACCCTGCATCTGCGTCGTATTTATTTATTGAAGCTTTGAGAATTATATATCTATAGAAAAGCGCTTTTGGAGATAAGTGATGAATAATACCCCTGTAGAGAATGTTTAACGTATACTTATTTCAACCCAGAAGGCATATATATTCCTGATCAGGTATAAGAAGCCGATAGTTGGTATAGCCATGTCGGTATCTTGATTAAACATGACATTCTTGCTGCAAGCATTAAATATGTCGAAACCTTTTGGATCGGACTACTATATCATATATATGTCATAGGAATGATCGAGTTCCTCTTTTATGACAAAGAATCAAAAAGTTCACCAATATATTAGGAATAAACTCATTACAACTGGACAAATAATGACCCAAATTGGAATACCAAATCATAAAGATGCCATAGGAACAATCGATCGATGATTTATATCCAGTTTAGAAGAGTATGGTATCTGCGGCGTGTGTGTGCGATAAGTATTCTTTCCAGTTTTTTATTTTTTATACTATTCGAATAAGTAGTTGCCGTTATCTGATATTGTTTAGCTGTATAAAGTTATTTGTTTACGAGTGTTTTATCAACATTTCAACAGCAAAACTTAAAAGTGTGCCGCAGTCCGATAAAGCAAAAAAGAAAAAAAACTTGAGGTTTGTTAACGCTTCAAGATTTCGAGTGGCCCAAGTTGGAAAAGGGTAGAAGGGGATGGGAGGGGGAGGTGCTATGCTCATTCAATGCACAAGGTTCATTCATCGAATGAGCTCCGAGTTCCACGAAAATTAGCATATGGCAAAGTACGATGTTGCAGACGGGAAGAGGCGAGGGGGCAGGGTG